GCGCGTGCCTTCTCTCTCGTTTTACCCCGCCGAACCCGCTGAACTTCCCGGATGTGTGGAGAGGACGCTGCGGTCGAACAAAATGGTGCCGCCCAGAGAGCGCTAAATGGAATGGTCTTATAGACCATTCCATTTAACGCTCTCTGGGCGGCACCATTTTTACTCCGTTTCTCCGGTATACTCCGTTTCACCTTAGGTTCGAGCGCAGCGGATGCTACGAGCCATCGGAGCCAATCCAAAGCCGTGTGAGTGTCACGTGACCTTGGAAAGAGAGGCAGAGCGACGCGCGGAATGCGTATCACGGGCTACGTCCACAGAGCGGGATTGGCTAGGATAGCTCGTAGCGTCCCCTACGTCCGGACGTAAGATGAGATTTACACACAAAAAAAAACAAAAAAAAAACGGAGAAAATGTGTTGTTTTCTTGAACAATATATAATAACTGGGCGCGTCTGTGCGTCGTATTCATATTGAAACAGCGCGTCTGGACACGGAACAATTGTGAGTCAGCGTTCGCTTTGCCCAGTTTCTCGCTCCGTCCGCGTCCACTCGCTCTGTTTCAATGGGAACCTTTTCTAAAGACACGCACTCGAGACCGGGTTTCGGCCCGCGTGCGCCAGATGCCTCCTGCGCAAGACGCTCCAGAAGTGGTCGCCGTTGACACGCGGCGCCCATAAACGCGTGCCCGACGGCGAATTGCCCCATTCGGTCTGCGCAAATATTTGGACCCCGCGCTACAACCCGAGCGACGCGCCCTCAAGCGCCCTCCTCCTCCTCTCTTCCCCATCACACCCTCCAGAGAAAAGGCGGTGACGTCGACACTGTTGCAATGCGCCAACCAGTCTTTGTGGAGAACATATGCCGGTAGAAAACTGAGGAAGAGGAGGACTCGAGAGCGCGCGGGCTTTGGTTGGAACGGTTAGTGGGTAGACTCAAACTTTCGGCTCCAGGGGGAGTCTGTCAAGGAGGAGGACATATGCACCGACCTCTAAGAGACCGGTGTCTGCAGCAAAAAGATAAATTGTACATCAGTATGGTAGGCCCCCTCGTATAACATATATATAGACCGACACGCGGAGCGGCTCTGTTTACCAACACGGCCGGAAGGCCGCGTATGCGCGGTAGCTATGTGGGCAAAAGCAGCCCGGCTGTCCATGTTTTCGCCATTGCGTTCTATGGCGTGCGCTCGTTCGTTGTTAACGTTGTAGGGACGCTTGTATCTTTATTTGTGCGTCGTATTTCCTCACAAGGTATGTCGTATGCCATGCCTGACTATTTGAGCTCGTGGCCCGAGCCTGAATGGCAGCGGTATCGAAACAAACTGTGTGTGGACGGCGTTGCCTACGAGAATCCGTACGCCGTAAACAACGCCTGCTGTACTTCCAACGTAGAGTTGCTGCCACGGAAGTCGACGGCTCACGTCGTCGTATATTTAGTTTTTTTGCCAAGCCAGTTCATGACCGACACGGTGCAGGCGTACAAGTCTCTTGAGGTCTACGAATACTTCGAGTCGGTTTCCGCACTGCCGGCGGGATCAGCAGACTCTGGGTCTGCGGAAGTGCTTGTATTCATTAATTGATTAAATACACACAGCGCCTTCAAGTCAAGGTATGATATTTTTCCTAGCCTCATGACCACAAGGCATGACAAGCAGTAACGGTTTGTCCGTTCTGCAGTCTTGGCGGTAACGGGTTACAAGTAACGGCGTTGTTGGTAACGCGTTACTTTTTTTTCAGTAGCGTAGTAACCTACTCGGTACGTTTTCGACAGAGTAACGGGTAACGTACTTATGTTACTATTTCAAGTAACGTAGTGATGTTAGTCGTTACTACTTCCCAAGTCTTAAATTAATTACACTTAAATTTTTTCCGTGTTTTAGGCGTCAAGCCATGTTTTTCTTCGCGTTGTTTCTCGTAAGTATTTAGGTGAAACCGTAAAAAGAGATAAAGAAATTATGTTCAGTTTCTGCGTGAACAGAATGTTTCTTGATATATGACCTGTATCGTCAAAACCATAAAATGTGTTAAATTATAATTTAAAAAGTAACGCAGAACTAACGTGCCTTACTTTTTATCGGTAGCGGTAACGCGTTCCTTTTATTTTTAGGTAACGTCGCTCAGTAACTCGTTACCTTTTATTTGCAAGTAACGAGTAACGTATCTCGTTACTTTTTTTTTTTTTTTGGTAACGCCTACAACACTGCCGTTCTGTCGCCGATCCCCTTCTTCTGGGTAGCACAAGCGTAGCGAGCCTCCGACGAGCGCTTGGCCGGTGCTTTATGCGCGAACACCATGGGAACAAAACCCGGGTGGTCTCGATCAAACAACGGTTTCCCTGCACATAAGCAAGCCTCGGGACGGAGATTGAAATGGAAGCCGCACTTGCCTTCAAGAAAGTGTTTGCTGCACAAACGGTCGTTCGCGCGAGGCAACCATTCTTTTCGATCCACGGATATTATCCACCTCCTATGCCTTTCAGAGTCTGCCGGGAACTTGTGGAAACTCACTCCGCTGCTTTTCTTGTAGATTTCGGTGCAATTAACGGCAACAGAGATTCGCAGCATGCTGAAATGCTATGAGGCCCATGCGAAACGTGCGCGCTTTTGCCCACACCCCCGGCTCCGGCGCGATCGCAGCGCCGCCGCAGCTCCGTGACGTGAAGCCCGCGTGTCGGTCTATAGAATCGGCGTATTCTATTCTTCAAATTAAATAAACGGGGAAAGGTATATCGGTGCTCTTCGCAAGTCTGCCCAGGTAAGCTATCGTTAGGACATCAGTCACACAGCAATCACTATCAAAATGTTTTGTGTTGTTTGGTCTGCTCGTAAAAAAAAGAGTGTATAAAAAAGTAGAGGTTTTTCGGAGTCTTGTGTAAATAACTTGTACAACCTCACTCACTACTCTCCGATGAAAATATGGTTTTATGACTTACTAGACTGAATAGCTCCCGCACTTCCCGGCCGGAATTTTCAGACAGTCAAGTAAGTCTCTTTGTACTGATTTTGATTCAATTCATAATCTAGATATCGTCACTATCAGTTTATACGCCAAGCAGTGGCGTCAGAACAAGGTGCCAGGGGAAGCAGAGCACTTGACGCCAAAGCAGCGCAGGCGAGCTGGTGGTAGCTAATCATGTCGTATTACACCTGAGACTGCGGTGGAAGAAATCGGGAGAACTTTCAGTAGAAGGAACAGACACAGAGAACGTCTCAAACTCGCTGAGTTAGCTGAGTTTGAGACGTTCTCTGTGTCTGTTCCTTCTAGTGAAAGTTCTTCCGATTTCTTCCACCGCAATCTCAGGTGAAATACGACATGACGAATTATATACCGACACCCCCTGCGGCATTCCGTTACTATACCGACGTGTGAGTAAATTTTCAGGATCGAGTCTACCGATGCGAGCTGAAGAACGGAGCGCGTGCGGCAATTATACGCCCGGCGAATGACGTCAGAACTTCAGCGCCGATGACGTATCCCCGCCCACCGCTCGAGTGTCCAGCGACGCGAGCGAGGGGCGGTGCTGGCTGAGACGCTCGCTGAGTCGCGAAGACGCAGCCCATCGAAATTACACGTAAACATGGTCCCCAGCAGAGGCGTGAAATATCCGTTAATAATAATAATAATCATTATAATAATAATAACAATTGTTGCAAGGCCGGCGAGAGAGGATGCTCTAAATCAGTGGTTCTCAAATGGGGGTCCGCGAAGGCGTTCTAGGGTCCGCGTTCATCAGTCAAGCCCGTCAATAAAAGATTTTTTTCCAGATCGAGTATAAATGTTTCGGTTTTTGGGCGAGCTTCCTCGCGTGCATGTCAATAAGAAAGGTCTACCTTACACCAGCCCTTAGTTATATACATTTATTCAATTATTATTATATTTACCCTATCCCTTCCCTCACCCCGAACGGGGCCCCCCATTATCTCCGCCGAACCACAGAGGGTCCGCGAAACATTGGTGGTTGAGAACCACTGCTCTAAATTTCTCAACTTGTCCGATGATGATGCAACAGCCGCGAACCAGTTGCCGATGAGAAAAATAATGAAGAGTTCAAGCTTTGGCAAATATTGTGTATGTCCTGTTTCTTTTTTTTTTTTTTTTCCCCAAATATACTTTGTGTAAATACGTAAAAAAAAAAAATAAATAAAACCTGTTAGAACTATAGTTTCGTCTCCGCAATAATAATAAGAATTCGGTACCGTCAAGTCAGATCCCTCGATTAATAAAATTAATTAAAAAAATTATAAAAAAAACTTGCACAGCATAAAAATAAAGAGAGAGAGAGAGAGGAGAAGTTACAAGTTAGAGATGCGACATAGTAAAGGTCGTTAAAAATAATAAAAATAAATTTTTGAATGAATGAGCCGTCTTCTCAACATGCTGTTCATTCGGAACGCATGGGGTAGCCAAAAAGAAAAAAAAAAAAAAAAAAATCTCCGCAGAAAAAAAAAAAAAAATTTTTTTTTTCAAGCCAAAAGTTGTCAATAAAGTACACTACGGACGACTACACCTCGAATTGTGCCGAGATCCTTTAGGATTATTCGCGGTAAATACATTACTCTTCATGGAGAATCTCATGTGGGTGACGAACGGAAGGTATTTATAACGGGACACACCACCGAGAAACAGTCTTGCAGCGCGAACCTGCGCCACGATCACAGCGAAATCGCTGGTTCTTCTCGAGTTCCTCGACGGCAGTGACAGACGCAATGAATGAATCATCGCACGATGGGGATGCGACGCGCCCCGCCTACGTCGCGACCGTTCCTCGAGAAAAGGAAGTGGGTTAGAATCGTTACTAACGTCACACATACACAAAAGAACAAAAAAAGAGCCCCGACATACAACGGGGAAACAAAGTCCGCGATTACGAGCGACCTCAAAAGAGACGCTACGACATACGGGAGATATTCCGTGCGACGATCCGCACGAACGCGACGATCAGCTGATCCGTGTTTGCGTTTTCTGCGCCGAGCGATCCGCGGGAGTAGTCAGCCTCACTCACCCGGTGCCGGTGAAGTCTGCTGCGGTGGTCGGAACCTGATCACACGCGGAGATTGTTCAAATCACAGCAATTTCACATCACAAAAAGAGACTCGGGACGTCTGAAAGCAGCTGTCCTGCGTCTGGCAGCCATAGAAACAGTGGTACAATGTTGCTCGACGGAGCTCTGTATTTTCTCTAAAACTATCCGCCGCGAGTTTTGTTGTGCGGCTTATACTCGAAACAAGTTTCGAGTATTGCAAATTTTTTTTTTTTTTTTTCTAATACAACATTTGAACAGAACCTAAATTATCAATATAACCCAAACGTAGTGTTGGTGTGCATCAGTGGTGCTGAAGGCGCTCAACGTCAAATTTATATTTTTTTAGTTGCATGAATGCGGCAAAAGTACGCGTCTAGCCGAATAACTCAAACTCTGAGTGAACTGCCTTCTCCACCGATCCGCTGTCCTTTGTAGGCACAGGAAGTTAGTCTGAAAGGGAGGGGTCTGCGAGGAACGATAACTCTGTCTGTGTTCAGCATAATACCGACTAGGGGTGTCGCGAACCGGCCGAGGTTTGAGTTCCACCAGGTTCGACTTTTTCGAACCTTTAGTGCAAATCGACGAACCTTGTATTAAGAAAAAAACAGTTAGAGCGCAGGCGTGCTGGTGTAAGTCTACCATTTTTTACCACCTGAGACTGGGTGGAAGAAACACGACGACGTCTCAAACACAGCTAACCACTTTATTCAGTTCTCCCTCCTTTTATACATCCTGACCCAACACCGCCACCGGCACCGGGTGAGTGAGGCCATTGTTTGAAATGTTTTTTGGTGGCGGTGTTGGGTCAGGATGTATAAAAGGAGGGAGAACTGAATAAAGTGGTTAGCTGTGTTTGAGACGTCGTCGTGTTTCTTCCACCCAGTTTCAGGTGGTAAAAAAAAGGTAAACTTGTATTGAGGTTCGACTCGTGTGCGCATGCTGGCCAGTTGGGCTTTGGATTGGATGGTGATGGCTAAGGGGTGAATTAAGGGCAGCGCTGATTGGTTATTTCATAGCGAGTTCGTTTCACACGCACTGGCACCGTTCGAGTTCTCTCCCAGAATGCATCGCACTCACAGAGTGTTACACGGAAAGCTGGACTCAAACGAACTCGCCAAATGCACCGAGTGCAAAAGACTGATGCTGCCGCCATCTATGTTGTAGAAAAGGTACCGACTTCAAACCGAAACTAGCGCCTTTCTGTTCCGAGTGATGCGTGGGAATGCGAGAATGCAGTCGCTACCAACGTTTATCTACAAACGTTGGCAACTGCAACCTGTAGTTCATAGTAGCGATGTCTTCAAGCAGCTCGGCTGCCGTAGAGATAGTTACAGACGGCGTAAATTTCCGCAACCAACTGTCTACAAAGCAGCTGGTTGCGATCTTTCAATCCTTATAACCGTTTACACTGAAGAAAACTAATGATGCTGTCCGAGCAGAAGCTTGATCCGTTTGAGCATGGTATTATGCGTGAACCACTGAAAGGGTACGGCTTAAAACTAGCCTGTTGGAGTATCCAGCAAAACTGGGAATTTCGATTTGGATCGTCATTATAAATGGATTAGATATTAGCCTTGGTGAGGGCGTCGAGAACGAGAGCTTTCTCGAACAAAATACGACGGGGCAAGTTAGCTGCGTAGATAAATGTTAAACATGATGATGTTGCCCAATCCTCGGGTAAAGTAACCATCTTTAGCTTTCTCTGATGCTTATTGGGCAGTCAGAGGTTTCTGCTGGGGGAGTTTTATCGACAAATGTTAAATTTTTCACCCGCACATGGTTGGTGATAGACATCTCGGGGGCCGCTGTTGCGTTTGTTCTGAGCATTTCTTTACACACTGGTATATTTCAGCGTTTGAACGGCAACAGAGCGATTTAAAACCTGCAAATAAATCACGGGTTGTCAATTGCTTCCTTCGTGAAATAGCAGACGCTCACAATTCAAGCTCGCGTTTGATTTCGTTGCCCGCGGGACGCGATTTCTATCAGAAAATCTACTTTTTTTTCCTTTCGGTTCCGCGACACATCGTAGCAGACGAACCCTTGTCGTCTGCTCCCACTCCTCGCCGGCCCCGCCGGAGCGAGGCACGACGGGATTGCATTCTGGCGCACTCCCGATTTTCTCGGTGCAGCGAGTGCATGCACGCGTGGGGTGTCAGCGCTGAAACGAACTCGGAGAGTGCAACCACTGGTGGAGCGCCGGCCGAAACGAACCCGTTCCACGCTGCGAGTGGGCACGCGTGGGCACGAGTGCCGTGAAACGAACTCGCTATCAGTTAATGCAGTACAAAAAGATTAAGTTATTAACTTCTTCAGTGGTTAGGATTGGTTTCTTTTAATTTCAACTGTTCATAAAATAAAATACCCATTTGCATAAAAAAAAAAAAAATTCTCCAAACCTAGACATGTTTGTATCAAGGCCTGGCCCCAGTGTCCACAAAGTCGAACCGGTCGAATCTGGAGAAAAGTTCGAAGGTTCGTCGAACCGGTTCGATCCAGTCGAACCTCGGAAGTTCGACCTAAAAATCTGGTTCGACAAAAGTTCGCGACACCCCTAATGCTAACCCCCAAAACTAATATTAAAAAAAAAAAGAAAAAAAAAGCGATGGAAGACAGGAAAAGTACAGGCAGCGACTGGCCTGTTCTTTTTAAGTCTTCCTTCGCGTTTTTCGTTTTCCTACCCCATTTTCAGGTTTACCATCATGTTACAGTGTACTAGAATACTTGGGTTGTGTTGGGACCGGAGGGGCTCGCCTGAAGCGCGTGGTACTGATCGCGACAGGTGTCGACACCGGCGCGTTATCCAGAAGGTGTGCGCACGCGCGGCTGCACGCGCGAAAATATGAATCTTTGGTGCCGCTTTGGTGGAGTGCAGATAGGATTTCTGTTGCAGCTACGACCTTCCAGCGGTCGTACCGCGGCATCAATTACACTGCGGCACGATCGTTAGCAACATGATGCTTCAATGTATTGGACAGTACAAGCTACATTACCCTTTCTTTATATAAAAACAATTGCGACTTTAAAGAAGCAGATTGCGCTGCGACTTTCGGTTTGTCGGATGGTGAGCATTTTAAATGAAATGCACATTTCCTTGGTCGCAAAGGCCGAACATTAGATATTTGAAAAAGATATCTAAAACTCGGAGGCAGTTTTTTTTTTTGTTTTTTTTCTTATTTTATTTTATAATGAAACGAAACGGCACATACTAAAGCCCGAGATTGTTTTAGTATGTTTTTAATACCCCAGGCTAACTTCTTCGTCTTCTTTTCTGCCCGCCTTCTTTTTCTCGACATTAATCAGCTCGCTTCACTTGTCACTCATTCTTGTGTTCATTTATGCGACGAACCACCCAAGCGATGGTCGCAAAGGAGCGAGAATCTTTTATTTCTTCATGGCTGCCACAACCATTCGAGGACCACCCGACGTTCACTTGTAAGAAATGGCTTATAAGCCGTGACAATTTTTATCACGCGTTTTAACATTGAGCTTAAGTCCAAAAACTGAGACAACGTGGGCTGAACAAGTAATGCTTAATAAGATTAAAAGAAAACGCGGAACTATTTCACGTCATTTTGAGCAGAAAACATGAGCACACGTAGATCAGGCAAGGCGAAAGTTGTAATAGTTTACAGCACGGCATTGAAATAATGGTTACAATGTGCAGCGGATACATGGTTACAATATGCAGCGCATTATCCTCTTAAGGGTAAACCATCTGAAACCTACACGCTCATAACAATACATTTAACCGACAGCTGCTTTCTGACAACCAGGCAAGTCTCGCCTGGGTTGGGTATTAGACGGGAGAGACCCATGGTTCCACAGGGGAAGTATCTGGTTCACGCAAACATACAGGGTGTTTTTGTTTTATTCTTTACAGAACTTTACATATTTTACAAAAAAAGGATGTGGCAGATATGTGGATGTCGTCTTTCGTTATATCTGTAGGGCTCAGTGGACAATAAATGGGTGAATAATTGTTGCAATGTTTAATAATTAACCAAAATCTGCTTGTTTATTAACGGCTTAATTGCAGTTTTAAAAGGAGTAAATATTAAAGGCAAACACAATTTCGACAGTTCGCGAAAAGGCAACGAGGTTCGCGAAATTTATCGTAAAAGTTTGCCTTTCTTCGCTTGATTCAGAAACCGCGTTATGAAAATAATACGTAGAATAGTGACTTAGTCGTCTTGGTGTGTGGCGCCGGCGAGTCCACCGAAGACACTCTGTCGAGTTAGTGACGAGGGGACAGAAACAACTGTGTCATTCTTCGACACACCAATATCAGCACAACCTAATTCGCGCTTTCAGCGCGCGGGTTTTTAATTAAGCGAAGAAAAGCAAACTTTTAGCGATGAATATCTCAGTACAGAACGAGCGGGTTGGTAGAAATAATTAAGCTTGAGGAAGAAAGCGAGAAGGGACGGACAAACACAACAAAAACGAGCGCCTTGTTGCTTTCGCTCAAAGTTCGTTGTTTGTTCGCAAACTTTCTCAATTGGGTTGGCTTTTAATAATGGCTCCCTTTAAAGCTGCGATTGCAACATGGCCCATTAAACCGTTCATTAACCCCTTGCCTACCGCAAAAATTTGAAAAAAAAAAAAAAGATTTGAAAATACCGATTCCTTTATGTGCCCTATACTCTGTTTCACCTTAGGGTGCCTCAATGTCCTGTTTAGGGTGATGCCACCCTTTGCAGTACCCGATGCCGACAGCACGCGCTCACGGGTAAAATACAAAGAAATCGACGAAAACAAAATGTCGCCGTAGCACAGTCAGCGCCACGAGCGCGTGCAGGGACACGTTCTTTCACGCGCTTCTGAACAAAAAATAAAAATAAAAGTGTGAGACAAAATGGCCAGATGTCTCCACCCTAAGCAAAGCGCACATGAAGGCACCCTATTTCACCTTGTGCTGCACCGCAGGAAAGGCTACAAGCGCGAGCTCCTTGCTCTAGGGCACACCTCGGAGGCACAAGCTCTGGTGCGCCAAGGGCAGCTGCCAACGCTATGGGCTCGCGCTTCTACTCTTCGCTGCGGTACACCATAAGGTGAAACAGAGTGTATAAAATCGTGGTACCGACACGTGCACCGCTCAAAGTAAAAAAAAAGAAAAAAAAGGGTG